ATTGAGCAGTTCAGCCTGTAAAACTACCAGCTCAGTGACTTAAGTGTTGTATAACTGCACAGAAACCAGAATTGTTACCAAAGGTGGTTGGTTTGTAGACCAGCTCTTCTGCTTGCCGTGAGGTTTATCTGGGGAGCCTTCAAGCTGTTATGATTCAGCTGTGGATGGCTTTCTTGGCTGTGCAGCTTGCAGACAGGGAGACAGATCAAACTGACAAGCTGAGCCTGGAAGAGGGAAGAATGGAAACAGCCCTAATTACTAAAGTGTGAACCTAAAGATCAAGTTGAACCGGACAGAACAGGGGCCTCTGCAATCAGTAGTAAGCTCACAATTCTAGGGACAGGAAACCTTGCTGCAGGAACAGTGTTTCTCATTTACTTATTAATATAGTTTATACCATTTGAATCAGACTTCTGGCTGCTGAAGGCATTTTTGCTTTTAAGTAACTTCAAGCCAGGCTTGTTGCTCTAGAAGTTGAAATGATCAGCTGTCTAGACAACAGTGAGCTACACCTGGTTTCTTTGTGTAGGCTCCCTTCTTGTTACTAGAAATACAGGGTTATGAAGTACTTGGACCAAGCCTCATCCCATTGGGGTGTTTGCATACTGTGTAGTGTTCTAGGTAAAATATTCATGCTCCAAACTTCCATCTGCTCTTCATCTGCAGAGCACAACAGTGAAACTGAGGAGTATTGTAAATAGCTCAGCTGTTGGTAAGACCTGTTCAGGCTCCCCTGGTCGACTGCTCCTCCTGAGTAGCACAGTTGTGTACTGAGGAGACCTGCTTATGGCTAGCAGTTTTTGCAGAGAGCCAGTGTTCCACCAGCTTGCTCTAAAGCAATGGTGTTGAGCTTTGGGTGCTGCATGGTGCAGCTATGGAGCTTGTAACCTTTAGTCAGTGATGGGCTTTAGCTTGCTCTCCCCAGTGAAAGGAGGATGATTGCCCTGCTTAAATCCAAGGGCTGCTAAGTCACCAGCACTTCAAACCACACTCTTCTAGAGGTTTGTCTTAATTGAGATAATGAGGGGCAACAGTAAGCGGTAGAAAAAATAACCTGACTTGTGTGGACACTCCTGCCTTCGCTCCTTCAGTGCAGACAGCATCTCTCAAAGCAGGAGAACTGGAAAGGAACTGCTGCCTTCTGAAGAGAGCACTGTGGGTTCTTGGGGAGAAACAAGTCTGCTGACTGGGCTAGCGAGCCATCCTGCCTCTGCAAGTGCCTGGGACGACCTAGCGAGTTCTAATGCCTTTCATCAAGGATGCAAATGGAGAGTTCAGAGCCATGGAAGCTGTTAGTCTTGTGGCTGAGTTGATATGGCTCAGCCTAACACAAAGTCCAGTTTTTTTTTTTAAGAGGTCTTTGCTTGAACCTGTACAGTTTCACCCAAGTATCTTATGCTGTGAAATGTCCTTCAAGTCTGCTGCTCTTCATCTCCATGGGCTGTCACAGCTCATCTGCTTGTACTGCTTTCGGTCTGCATTGCATGGGACTTCATGGTGGTGGAGCTGAGCTTAAGCTTTTAATCTCACTTCCCTTGGGCTGTGTGTGGAGTGCCCAGCTGCATACTCGCTTGAATTGGATGCTTTCTGGTCAGACTATCCTGTAGTGACCACCTCCCTACCCATCACCAAATTCTATAGTTCAATTTTCATAGAATCTAGCTTTTTAGCATTGCTGGACTGACTTGTCCTGTCCTTTTTTCAGTTGAACCTGTGGTTAAACCCAGGCCAACAAAGAGGGGAGGTGAGAAGAATGCCAGCAAGCCAAGAAGGAAGAAAAACAAAGGAAAAAACAAAAAGAAGGGAACTCCCTGTGAAATGGAATACAAAAACTTTTGCATCCATGGTGAATGCATATACCGGGAACATCTACAGATGGTGACCTGCAAGTAAGTTACTTTTACCTTGTCAGGTGTGGTTGGCGTGAGTGGTGGTGTCAGCCTGGCATAGACCCATCTCCTGCTGTATTTTGACTGAGAATCTTTCTGCCATGTAAATCAAGTGATGATGGAATCTGAGATGCATAACAAGCCACTGAACTCATCAGTTGGTCATAAACTCAAACCAAAAGAATGAAAAGGTGTGTCTTCCTGGAACATCACGCCCAAACTAATCTCGACTTGTTGAAATGCTGACAAATGTTGAGCTAGAGCAGTGACTGCATTTCATGAACAAGCTGTGAAGCGAGCATCTTGAGATGCATGGGAAACTCTGAAGATGTCTAGGTCAAGTTTGAATGTGTGTGGGTGTCCTTGGCTCCAGACAGCACTGGGTCTGATAAGAGCTTGTGTTAATGTTTACTTGCAGGTGTCATCAGGATTTTTTTGGTGAGCGCTGTGGTGAACAGTTCATGAAGACTCAAAGGAAGAATGATGTGGCAGACTACTCAAAGACTGTGTTGGTAGTGGTAGCTGTCCTGCTCTCAAGCATCAGCTTCATTACTGTGCTTATCATTGTGATAGTGCAGTAAGTATTATGCTCTGTCTGTCTAGCTTAAGTGCAAGTAGGGATTGTGTCCAGCAGCCCTGAAACATGAGTGGCTCATCTGAATGACCTGCGTGGAAGGGCCGAGTTCTTAGCCCCACTTGGGTATATCCTGAGGGTAGAAGCAAGGTCTGAGAAGTTCATTAGTGACTCTGTGTTCACTTACTGTCCCTCATTATTGGCTGTGGGTGGCCTGTGACCCTCTTTTTAAAACGAGCCATTCTGCTCTTGGGACAGCAAGGGTAGTGACAGTGCTGCACAGCATCAGCAGGGAGAGGAGGAGGAGCAGTAGTGCTGATACAGCAGTGCCTTCCCTAGTTGTTGTGGAGCAGCCTGCAAGCAGCAGTGTCACAGCCTCAAGTGTAGCTGTTGGCCAGCACAGGAGGGGAGGAAAAGGTGCTCAGCTGGCCATGGAGTCATGGAGATTGCTGAGCTTAAGTACTTCACGCTGGGGCAGTACCCATGTGGTCAGTTGCAAATGCTGTACTGCTTGCTGCTAAGAGTGAGGCAGGAACCATCCCAGCCTCACCAACTGCTGACAGCTCAGGGACCCACTCAGAACCAGGGCTCCTGCTGTGATTTAATTTTAACAGTGGTTTGGGGTATGTGTTTTGGCCATATATCAAACTCCTCTTTGTACCTGCTAAAAAGCAGTGTGCAGCAGCACGTGCCTGCAAGTGTTTTTGCCTCTTGCCAGTGTGTAACTCTTTATGCTGAGCCTAGCTAGTTGCCACAGGAAGTCTGAGCATGGAGAGCTCCAGTGCTTCCCAAGTGTTGGAGCAGTCCTCCAGTTCTGACACTACAGCTCCACCGTAGTAGGGTTTGGGATATTGTGGGTGAAACTCAAAAGTTAAGTCTAATTTTAGATCTTGAAGTACACCAACTGAATTGGGTACGTGCTGTACCCTTCCCTGCAATTCAAGAAACAAGGTGTGTGTTTGTCATTGCACTGGTTGCTTCACAGTTAGACCTGCACTTGAGGAATGCCAGGATGAACAGTTGTTCTCTGAACACTGCCTCATGCATTGCTTCTAGGAGAGATAACCAGTTCTGTGGTGGTGGGAGTGCAAATGGTCATCGTTAGGTTCTGGAGCAAGCTGTGGAGTAGGATTTTGTTTTTCATGCTCTGAACCCCCACAAGCTGAAGGCATGCAGTTCATTATTCTGTACCTTCATCCATAGAAGCTAGATAGTTTGGGAACAGTCACAAGAAAAGACTGGAAAAACAAATGGGAGAAAATCAGTAAGCAGTTTACTTAGGATGTGTTCAAAGGATACATCAAGGGGACAGGAACTTCAGATACTTGGAGACGATGGGGTTCTGCTGTGAGGAGCATGAAGGCAGTCTTGTCTCTGCAGCTGTTTGCTGAAGCCACCAGGAAGCATGTCCCCTAGAAAGTGTCCTGGTGCTTTGCTTGGTTCCAGCAGTAAGCCCTCTGTCTGACTACCTAACTGGTTTTAAGCCTAAAAGCCCTGTCTCTGTGGCAGTACTGCCAGTGGCTAACTCAGGGGCTTTTCAGTTCTGTTGTCAGATACTGCTTGGTGCTGAATGGGAAAAGCTGTCTTGCTTGAAACTTCCTGATGCTGAGGAGTTGCTTGAGGATTCAAAGGACACAGATCCAAGTGCTGCAGAGAATGTTGGGGCTGGTGACAATGGGATTTACTTCAGGACTTGAAATGACCTCTAACATGCTGTAATTCCACAGGGTCAGGAAAAAGTGTCCTCAGTATGAAGAGAAAGAAGAAAGGAAAAAACTTCGACAAGAAAACAGAAATGGCCATGTTGGTGTGTAAATGAGGAGAAAGCAGGTACGAAAGCTGACCCAAAATGCCATTCAGCCCTTTGGGGCTGGCGTTGGCCATATGAGAACTGTATGCTTGTTCCACAGAGCTAGAGTTGGCTTTTAACACTGAAGTGCCTTGAAACACATAGGTCACATGTGGACAGTTGGCATGGTTTTCTGGTTTCCCAAAACCACTTGAGTTGTGCAAGTTCAACAGCTCTGTTAACTTCCTGGCTGCTGTCTTAAAGTGAGGACAGGAAGCTGTACTGAGTTAAGTGGACTTGGGAATTAAAAAAAAAAAAAATCTCTAATACCTGGGCAGAGACAGGTTTAGTACAAGAAACCATGGTGGCCTTCTGTCATGGAAGATGGTGCAGCAACCAAGGGAATTGTCACCTCTCTTAAGAGAGACTGAGCTTTTTCATGTCTTCTCTGCATGGGAGGTTTCTGTTGCTTAGAGGCTGTAGATGGAGACAAAGCTGCAAGTTTTGTGAGTGCCATAGGTAAGCCAGTCAGTCAACGTTTAGTGTCATAGCAACTTAGTGCTCAAGCATCTTGGCCTAGGTGGATAGCTCCTGTGAGAAATCTAATGCACTTTAATGAGCAAGCAAGCTGGTCTCTTTGGAGCAGAAGCGTACCTAGCAGCAGGCTGAAGGACCCTTACTGAATAGGAGTTACGCTCCAAGCTGAAGGAAGAAACTATAAAGGATAGTCCTGAGAAGTTCTGGCAGAACTCAGAAGCTTTGCTTTGCCACATGTCAGCTACAGACCTTGTCCAGTTTTGTCCAATGACAACTGGAGTTTTTTTTTCTCAAAGCTCACTTGAAGCTGAAGAATATCTAGCAGAGTGTCCTCAGATGTATGCGCTTCCTTAACCTAACTGCCTTGGATGTAAGTTTGACATGGTTCTAGCACAGAGCTCGTGTCTTGGGTGGTGATTAATGTGCCTGGTCTGCCCCTTACAGAAAATTCTGATGTAGCCACTGCCAAACTGCAGGGTACCTCTGCCTACCTGACACATCCACCTGGACACTGTGGGCTGGAGCTGTTGCCAGTAAGACCTGATTCATCAAGACAGGCTGCTGCAAGGAGATGTCAACATGGCACTAGCTGCTGAATCGCTTGCTGGGGAGGACAGTTACCACTACATCTTGGCACAATGATGTGCAAGGAGCTGCCACTATGGGGTGGAGGACCTGCTATCAAGACCTGCTGGAGACTACTGCTACTGAGCCCTCTCTTTCAGTGCTGGAGCTCTGTTCTCTGCAGCTGTGTGGATGGACTTTCCTCTTAGCAAGTCTTCTTCAGCAGCTCTAACTCTGGGGGAGAGTGCTTGTTGCAGTTTCAGGAATGGATGGAGGGAAGAAAATTCCCTTCCCTCTCCCAAAGTGAAAAAGGGAAGAGCTCTGGATGGCTTCTCTGTCTAGACCTTGGCGGATAAAAAAAAAGATGATTCTGCTGTCACTGTGCTCCCTGTTGCTATTGGCTTCAAAGAACTTCATCTCTAGTTCTGACTTGCAGGGCGTTGGTGACAGATCTTTGTCAGCCACACCTGGGTTCTGTTACTGTATGTGGAAGGTAATCCCTATGACTTCAGTAGGGCTTGTGTGAGTGGTGCTATCTGTTTGCCTGAATTAAAATAAGTAGCTTTGGAATGCTGAGACACTAAGTGCCAGATCTGAAGGAAAAGATCTGTGCTGAAGCAAGCTGATAAGCCTGGACCCATCTGTTATAAACACAAAGCTACTGCTGTTACCCAGACACTAGATTCTGCTTTAAGCAGTGATTGAAATATAAAAATGCTTCATATCAGTTCCAGTCAGTTGAACTTGACCAAGAACCTGTTCTGCTGAAGAATTTAATTCATGGACTGACACTCCACAGGCAGTGGTCTCTTGTGCTCTACCTTCTGGTGCAAAGAACTCAGTTTACCTCAAACTTTTCTGACCCAAGTCTTGGTTTCTTGAGCTTTCCATGCAGTCTTGAGCACAGAGTATTATTTGAGCTGAGTTTCTTCTTGGAAGAGTGAATGTGTTCTGCATAAACAGAGCAGAATTCTTCTGGTAGCAGAGAAACACCATTAATTGTTAAGTCATATCTGTAAATGTGTAAATATTTATTACTGTATTTAATATTTAATGTTTCCATAACAAACTTATTTATTTTATAATTAAACTTTTTACATAACCTAATCACAGTAAGATTTTTTCTTGCTTTCGGGAGTACATGTAAACAGTTACAATTAGAGCTTGGTTTCTCCTCAAAGCAGGAATTTCAACACCCAAGAGTAGAGTGCAGTTGTGAAGAGATACAGCCATGAGTGAAACATGAGTTTGGTGCTCTCACAGGAGTGCAGGTTGTTTGTAAACTACGTTCAAATTCGAGTACTTGTTTTGGTAGGAAGTTCATTTAATTAATCTACAAAGGGACTTTGTAATTACTGGATAAGGCAGGGTCTATGTAAGCAACCTGTTTGGAAACAAGATCTCAAACTGAAGCTTGAGCAAGCATATAGTCCTTTGCACTGGGCTTGAGATCTGGGAATGCTGCAGAGGGGAGAGGCTTTCATCTCTGAGCAGTCGGAGAGAATTTGGACAGTGGCTTGAAACTCATTCTTAAAGAAATGAGAAGCAGAATAGCCTCAGGCCAGTGACGCCCTAAACAGAAAGGGAGCTGTGGCCTCCACATTCCACCTTGGGTTTCTTTTCCTCCCCAGGTAGTTGCTAGTCCAACTGTATGATGATGTTCCCTCTGAACACTTCTAGCAGTGAGCTGGGGTTTGGGATCAGAGTTGCACGTAAAAAAATGTGTCAAGGAGATGTTTGGCTTTTAAGCCACAGTTAAAAAGGTGATTGAGAACTGTATTTTGAAGCACTTTTCCCAAGAAGCATCTTTGAGAGGCATTGCTGGCTGTGGCTTAGCTTGAAGCAGAGAAAATAAACCCAAACCATGACAACCAGTATTAATTTGGCCCCATGTTTTGTACTCTGTGTAGCTGAGATGCATTTGCCTTGGCTTCCTGAGTTAGCCAAGCAGTTCTGGGGCTCTGAGAGCTGCTTGTATGGTTTGTAGCTGAGGTACAGGTAAATGTATTGCAACATCTATCTCCTGGGAAGATTGCAGGACTTCATTCCAGACAACCTGCTTCATTACCAAAGTAAACAGCACTTCACCAAGTGGCTTTTCCGCAGACATTTGCCATTAGAGCTCTGGCAAGAAGAGCTGTTTCTGTCAGTCCTGCCAAGCTTTTTGCTTTGGAGTAAACACTCAATCTCAGTGGTAAGGGAGCCCTGGCCAGGTGAGACTGGGGAGGGATTACAGATCCTGTTTGGAAGCCATGAGGCTGCTCTTCAAGAGACTCTTCTATCTCTAGTCTTCTTTCTGGAGGAAATATCAAGTTTTCTGTGATAGGCTAAACTGCAGCCAGTGTGGAAAATTGAGCTGTTTTCCTCCTCCTTTCCTCAGCTTGAAAGTTTAACAGGAGCGAAGGTACTAGCATAACTTGTACACTGCGTCTCTTGTGTTTTTTGTTTGCTGCTTACTGAGGGGTTTGGGGGATAGCTTCCAAAAACAGGCAGTTAGGAACTGGACAGGCCCAACAGATACTTCTGGGAGGCTGGACTCTTGGAAATTTGAGTGTCAGTTGGTGGTGTGGCTGGGCCTTGAGCTCATATTGGTAGTGGGGGAGGAAAATGATTGCTGAGTCTCCTTGGCTGAAAGTTTGAAAATGGTGGAGGACCAATGTCATGGAAGACTCATTCCTTTATAGGTTTAGGTTATGGGCAGATTTTCTGAGAGGCAGGGCAGGCAGCAGCTCACCCTAGAGAAGAGCTTTGCTGTGGTCCGTCACATCCAGCACTGCTGTAGTGCTTGCTGAGGCTTTCAGTACCTGTGAGGTGACTGCTGCCTCAAGCTAGGCAGGCAGTTCCCCATGTACCCTGTGGTGCCTTCCTGAGCACTGTGCAACCTTTTTGGTGTTGGCCAAGGGAATTTCTTCATGAGAAATTTGTTGCAGGGAATTAAGGGCATATCTCCCTGTCCAGGAATGGCACGGTAATGTTATTGTAAATTGAGAACTGATGTATAGTTTTGCATTTAAAGAGAAGAAAAAAAAAAATCCCTGAGTTCTGTTGTTAATCAATTACAGCTTCTAGCAAGCAGTGATGTTTTCTTCTGCTTGAGTTATGGCCCTGACTAATAACAGCTTGTTGACAGATTTCTAGTGTGAATTTGATGCACAAGCACCTTCCTAGTGTAAATTTGATGCACTAGATCTACACATAGTGTTCAGTGAGTTGATTGATTAAAAACAGCAGCATAACCGATGGTGGAACAATGTCTGGAAGTCTCTTACTGTCCACAGATGCGATGCTTGTGTGACAAGCAAATCTGATCTGCTGCAGGGCAAAGCCAAAGATAATATTTATTGCAGATGGTGCACAGCTAGGTCTGCTCTTCAGGATATATACATCATCTGGCTTTTGACCTGCTCCCCTCACCATGGAGTTACCCGAGTTCCACCAAGCATGCCTGGGTTTCTGGTTCCGTATCTTCTTACTAAGTTATGCCTCCAGATTTTTCTTGACTTTACAGTGGTAATGTTACTTTGACAGGAGAGCTTTTAGGTCCTTGTCACTCATAGCTGCCTCAGCTGATGCCTGGAAGAGTAGCCTGATGTTCTTGCACAATTTTCTGTGCACACGGCTGGTTTTGCAAGCTGTTTTTGATACCCAGATCAGTATCCAGGAATTCTAGTAATGTGAGGGTCATGTCTGCTTGCACAATTCCTTCCTCCTTCCTGAATTTTTTCTTCTCTGTGATTATTGCATTTTGTAAAGAAAAAAATGATAGCTCCTTAAAGAGTTTTTCTCTATGTTGTGTTTCTCTGTTTATTGAGCTTTTGAGTGTTTTGCAGTAGTCTGTCACCAGAGTAGCTTCCTGTCTGCTTTTGGACTTTGCTTCCCTCCCTCTGCCCTCCTCCTAGTATGCCCATTTTCCCTCAGAGCAGGAGCAGATGTTCCTCTGAGCCTTGGCCTGCTGGATGCTAGAGGAAGGTCAGTTCCCTGTGGCAACGTAAAGGCAGAAGGCGTTTTCCATGGTAAATCCAGATACCCACGGACATCTGTGAAGGTGTTTGTGCTGCCAATGGTTGCAAGTAGATCTTGCGCAGCAGTTTGCCTGAATCCACCTTTGTTTGATGCCATTTCCAGTGACTGGTATAAAGTTTAGAGTTCTTAAAGCACCTTTGGGCCTTTCTTATATCAATGTATTTACCTATCCTGTTAGCGCTACAAATGCTTCAGTAAACTACCTGAGCAAACAGGCTGTGAGAGCAGGGTTTTTCCCTGGGGCAGACGCCGCCTCTTCTGGAGGAGCGAGCAGCCCTGCGGTCCCTGGCTCCCCAGGTGTTCTCTCTGGTAGGAGGCGATGGCTTCGCGTTCTTGGTGGCAGCTGAGCGCAGCGAGCGACTGTGCTCGAGGTGAAGGGGCCGGCTGTCAGTGTCAGTGCTGGAGTCTGTCCCGATGAGAGAAATCAGTGGACAAAAGGCTCAGACAAGCCTTTAATAAGCAAACCTTGATTCCTTTTCATTTTGTGAACAAAGCCATACATACCTATCGTTCCTCTGCTGCTTACACCTTCCTTGAGCGAGTAACCCTTGCTTACTGCAGGTCTGGCTTTGCCTGTGACTCCTGAGTTTGTTCAATTGAGACAGCTATGCCTGAGAATGGCAGAGGGAAACAGCTTCTGTTTTCTTACTGTGGATCTAGACCTGAAGCCATGGAAGCAGGATTTGTGCCTTTTTCAATCAAAGGAGACTTGAGAGGTGGGACATCTGAAATCCAAGGTAGAGAAAACACTTTCAAAATATACTTCCTAGTAAGGAGAGTAGCAGGTTTTCTTGAGGAAAAGCATATTTTCATTCATACAATTGTCATGTCATAAAGACATAACTTTTTGCATATAATTCAGGGAAAAAAAAGCTACTTTTCAGCTCGACATGTTTTGATTGGCATAATGCAGCCTGTTCCCATTGCATATGGGGACAAAAATCAAAGCTAAACAGTCAGAATCTGATGCAATCCAGCATTTCCAATGTCTTAACCTAGATGTCCTATCATCATTCCAGTGCCACACATGCTAGGTCAGATAACATGGCTTCTCACTGCCCAAGGATTCTTGCATGTTAACACTTTGGTTCAGATCTTGGCACACAGCTTCTTTCTCTGTGTGTGATTTTCCTTGCACAGCTGGCAATGAGCTTGGGTTT